TTTTTTTTTTACATGAACTTTCCAGTTTCTGGATCCACAGGGAAACCAATTAATTCGAAATCGAGCCGGGTAGAACCACAAGGGCGGCAAAGCTCTCTCTCAAGAGTTTTTAACACTGCTGCATTCCCAGGACTCGAACACGAGACCACTTGTTAAGCTGGAAGAGACCCAAGCCGTCTTATCCAAGCGCGTTTGGGTAGAACCATAATTTTTTATATCTTATTTCAATGCAATATGAAATGGACAGATTGCTAGAAATATTTTATTCGGCCAATATATGTAAATCAAATATGTTCAGTTGTCATAATATATATAGTTTGATTAAAGTAATCTAATAAATTTATGTTATTAAATAAAGATAGTATCAATTAATTATGATACTTACGTTTTGTTGAGGTACTAAACTGAAAATCAGTAAATGTCCTATTAGTTTTGTTTTGACACCAAACAACCAAACATGTACGACCATGTTTATGAAAATGTGTCTTCTCCCTTTAGAACAAGACTACATATTACATAACACAATATTATCATGCTAAAATATATTTGTTGTGCATTCGATCAATTGGAACTACATATTCATAACAAGGACATACGCTACAAGAAGATTATGAAATTTTAACGGAAATATATTTGAATGGAATTTCAACGAAAATTTCAATGAATATTTCAATGCTATTATTTTTGTTGAAAATTTCTAATGGATTCCAACGAGAATTCCAACAAAATATTTATGTTGCAATAAGTTTTTATTGGAATCTTAGATAGAATTTGAAGATTCTAATACCGTTAGAATCTTCGAATCTATATTAATGTAAAAATTTGTTGGAAAAATACTTTTATAGTAAGTTTGACAAAAACAAAAACAACAATATTTGAGTTATTTTTAGTTAAGGGTGAACAACAGTGCAGTTCGGTGAAAAACCGCACCGAACCGCAAAAAATCGAAAACCGAACATAGCAAAAAAAATAAACGATCGAACCGCACCGCAACTTAAAAAAAACCGAACCGAAAACCGAAATCTGTGAAGTTATCCAGAACTTCTTCACTTGTGGTAAAATACCTAAATCCCTTAACAACACAGTTTTGTCTTTGATTCCTTAATTGCCATTTAAACCTTGACCTTTTCACTTTTGGCAATTTAATCCAAACTTCTAGATAAATGCAAAATAATACCAGACTTGTATTACTTTTGCAAAAT